TATATGTATATATATATATATATATATATATCATATCAGCAGAAGGAGCTGACAAGCATGAGGTCAGAAGTTGTTTGGAATTGAAATCTTTGCCCAGAGCCTCGACTTTCATACCATGCCCCTGTCAGTTTCATGATTAAGGATGATAATCCATCTTCACCTGGCACATATCAGGCCTGCAGGACCGAAGCAGCAGGTTTGGGCAGGATGCTGAGGTTGTCACAGCTCTATGATTGCCATTTACTTTTCCAATGAAGGCAAGAATCCAGGTATAGTGACAAGATCTGGGGTGGGGGGTGGGGGTTGGAGATCACATCATGATTAAATGTAGTCTCTAGAATCAGACTATCTGGACTTGATCCCTGGTTTTACTATTTCCTTGTCGCTGAGTGCCCTTGAACAAGTTGCTTATCTTCTCCATGCTACAGTGTACTCTTTAAAAGAATGAGTTCTAATCTCTTTTCCTTGTCCTCCTTGTAGTCCCGTTCCCTTCTTACCTTCCTCCTCTGACTCGTTTTTTAAAAAACAATGCACTCATTATGTGTTTTTCCTGAGCCTCAACTTGTTCCTCCGGCCTCAACTTCCTAAGCGCTGGGATTACAGGCATGTACCACCACCAGGCGTGGCTCAGTTTACTTCTTTTTAAAGAAACTTCTCCAAGAGTTATGTGTTAAATGAGTAACTATAAGAAAGCACTTAGACAAGTGTTATATATAGCTTACATGTATAATCTCCTACAGATTACTACCTGCCTCTTATATTTAATCTTGAAATGTTGTATACAGATTGAATTGCACTCCAATACTACTGGGAGCTCTCCATCTTTTTATTATTTTTATTATTATAATTATGTATTATTATTGGCTAAACCAGGGCTTGAATTCAGAGCCTCTACTAGTCCAGCCACATTCATATCCCTTTATGCATTACTTTTCAGACAAAGTCTCAAGCTTTTTTCCTAGCCTTGAATCACAATCCTCCTACGCCCACTGTAAAATAGCTGGGACACAGGGGTGAGCCGCCATGCCTAGCTAGGATTTCACCCTTGAAAAGAGCCTTGTAGGGCTGGGAGGATGGCGCAGTGGTAGAATGCTTGCCTGGCATGTATGAGGCCCTGGGTTCAATTCCTCATCGCCACATAAACAGAAAAAGCTGTGTGCACTGTTGCTCAAGTGGCAGAGTGTTAGCCTTGAGCTGAAGAGCTGAGGGATAGCGCCCAGGCCCAGAGTTCAAGCTCCATGACTGACCCCGCCCCCGCTCCCACCCCCCAAAAAAGAACCTCATGAAGAATTGTTTTTGTTTCAGTCAAGAAGTTTTCGCTTGCTTGACAATATTGTAACCCAGATTTAGTGATCCAGGACACCTCTGTTAAAGGGGTCATGCTCAGGTTACTGTAGCTGTGTGTGATCCCAAAGAGCAGAAGGCAGTGCTGAGGATGGGGGCAGGTCAGGAGCAGAGCTGTTCATTGTGGGTGTTTTTGACTGTTATACCCAGTGTTTTTCTCCTCCTCTACTTGTCTTCCTAACTCTTCTATGCTCCTTCTACTTTAAGAGCGTTTGGTTAAGGAAGCGGAAGTCTCTTCAAGTCATGTTTTCTAGACTCTCAGTCCTGCTCTGGCCTCTCTAAAGTTTCTCCTTTCCACTCTGTACCATTTGCTCCAAACTGCTTTTTCTACCAAACTGGAGAACTCTGGGTTGTCTGGTGACAGAGTTATTCACGTACCTTATGAGTTGGTCTGTGGCACTGGAATGGCCCTAGGCAGAGATCGTACAGTTACAACAGTACATTTGCTTATTTCCTTTTTTCCTCTGCTCTGTGGAGATACACCTTAGTTGCTTCTTTCTGGTGCCTCCTATTACTAAAGTAGGTGGTAGTATGTTCTGCCACCATGTTCTTTTTGCAAAGCATTCTACGTTATGAATATGTTTTCCATGTTAGGAGATCCAGTCACTGCATTCTGCATGTACCTTGTGACAGGCGATCACTATTCACATCAGCAGTTACTTTATTCATAGCTGCTAATTATACCTATGTTGGCTAACTTTGAGTCTGGGAAGTGACTGAGTCTTAGGACATAAGGGCTAAAGAATAGCTCTAGGGAGTCAAAAACAGATCTCCAAAGGAGCATTATTGGGTTGTCAGCTGCTCCAGGGATGAGGGTCCAGAGGAGTGCGGAGTGCTCAGATGACTTGCTTCACACTTGCTTCTCTGGAAGCAGAAATTAGGGGTAGGGGACATTTCTATGTTTTTTTCCTTAAAAAACTCCTTAATTTTTTAAAAAATATTATGAGTGGATCTGGAACAGCCAAGTTTCTACATGTATCTTTCCCTAAACTCAAAAGCAGTACATGTTCATGAAAATTCAGATGCCAGCCAGGTACCAGTGGCTTATGCTTGTAATTCTAGATACCCAGGAGGTTGAGATCCTGACGATTGTGGTTTAAAGCCAGCCTGGGCAGACAAATCTGTGAGAGTTTTACTTCTAACCAGTAAAAGTCCAGATACGGAGCTGTGGTTCAAGTGGTAGTGTGCCAACCTTGAATAAAAAAGCTAACCAAGAATGGTAGGCCCTGAATTCAAGCCTCAGTACTCCCATACGCAAACACACACGTGCACACACACTCACAGTATTTGTTGAAATTTGGGCACAATAGTGTTGCTGAACTAATTGACTAATTCATCAGCTTTCTTAGAGCTTGATTTATTCCATGCCTATCAGTTAAACAGCAAGGGACAACAATTTTTATTACTTCGAAAGAGCAAAAATTTTACTGTGCTTTATACACTGTATATTTCAAAATACTGTATTTATTTAGAGTGAACAGTAGAATACATCTTGGCCATGGAAAGGTTGAGAACTATTGCTCTCCTAGACTATGCTTCCAAATCAACCCAGGGAACATAATGATATTTGCCTTGAGGATCATTTTGTTGAGTGCTAGCCCAAGGCCAAGAGCTAGCAGCTGGAGCCGAATGGACAGTCATGAGACCAGGAGTCTGCCCTGACCTTGACGTTCTGTTGTAGAACTGGGAACAGAGCTCTTAAACTTCTCTGGGCTTGACATATTTTTCCCATTTAAATGTTGTCAGTCCTTCATTTCATCTGAGCATTCTTATGAGAAAAAAAGATTGAGAACACAGGTTAAATAAGATAGAAGGGGATGCCAAGCAATGGTGGCATTAATGAGTTTGAAGAATTATCTATTCATAATGTGTTAGAGGTGGTTTGTTTTTTAACAGACAGGACAGAGTGTTCCTAGCTTCACCTGAGTGGCAGTGTGAGATAGGGAGTGTGGTTTTAGGTTTTTACTTGGGAAAAGGGGAAGACCTGGTGTGGGTGTGTTCTGGGCAGAGGCTGGAGGTGAGGTGCCGGAGGGCAGGGTGCTGGAGTCTCTGTTGGCCCAGGTTTTCCTTTGTTCTAGCTTTTTTTTTTTTTTAATCAGGTATGGGAAACAGGGCAGCTGGCTCCCTGGTTGCTTATGAGTAGCTGTGCATTTTCAGCTTCAGGGAGGGTTAGAGCACCTTTGAGGAAAGTGGTTAATGGGCTGGAAAGTGTGGCTAGGGCAGGCCTAAAGGTGTAGGTAATGAGCCAGATCCTGAGGGAGGAGAGGGTGTGCACTCAGCTGGGGAGACCATGAAGACTCAGAGGATTTTACAGCTTGAGTCCAAGACTGCTGATGCCAGGCAATGTCTATCTGCCTGTTAGGCATTAATGATCCGGGGTTAATGCCCGCTGAGCCTACAGAGAGATGTTTCTTTGCTTCTGCGATCCCTGTTTGGACAGAGATAAAAACCACTTATGTTGGTCCATTAGCTGGGGAACATGGGAGAGCGGCTCCTGGCCAGTCAGGATTTCTCCCATGCATAGGTGGTAAAGGACTAATAAGTTCTGCCCTCTAGCCAGAATCTGGGCATCTCCTCCTCCCTTACCATGAAGCCTCTCTTTAGTTTCCTAGTACATCTTGCTAATCATCCCTAAGAAACTTCCTTTCCAGTTCTCTCTTCCCCAATGAAAAATCTTTAAACATTTCTTCCTCAAAAGATTAAAGATGCTGGGGCTCACGGCTCACACCTGTAATCCTACTCAGGAGGCTGAGATCTGATAATGGTGGTTCCAAGCCAGTTCAGTCAAGAAAGTCTATGATTTTTATCCCTAATTAAACACACACACATACATACACAATGAAGTTACTAGGAAACACCTTCATGCTTGTTGTTGTAGAGAAGAAGCCACAGCTTGTAAAGACCCTTTTGGAAAAGGATGCTGGGAAGCAAAAGATCCAAAGTGTTTTCTTTCCTGTTCATACAGGGTTTTCCCCCAGGGGAGGAGCTGGTAGAACTTGAGCCCTTCCTGATAAACTCAGTTTATGTCTTGACCCTAAGAAAGGGGAAGCTTAAGTTCATGTTCCTCCATCCCTTTTCCTCAGTGGCAGGGTAGGTGGGAGAAGCCATGCAGGTGAGCCAGTTAAGGCTGTAGCAAGAAGCTATCTAGGAAGGAGGAGGTCTGGAAAGTGCCATCTCTAGGCTAGGCTCATTATGCTGTTCACCTGACTTTATCACCTATCTGGTGAAACTAATCTCTACCAATGAACATTCCTGAAATAAGCTTACTAGGGAAGGGTCTTGCCTTTACATAGACTGTTGAAGCCAATGACCCTTAATACCCTTGTGAGTTAGCACTACCCTGAAATTTTCTGAGACCTTTAAAACCTGCATTAGCAAGGCTCTGCCTGCTAAATCTCACTATGGTCTATAAATGGAGGAGCCCTTGCGTAACCTGAGTGTGGAGGCCAGAACAGCTTGGGGCAAGGTTCTTTTAGCAGTGCAAGAAAATGTCTGTCCCAGACTCTGAAGAGGTAGATAGGATCCTTAAGATTGAAGCTCTCTGGGACTTATTTTGAACCAGCTCAGTTCTGCACTGGTAGAATGACAGCTGCATGGTTTTCTGACTCGGCATTGTCATATTAGGGAGGAGGCATAGTGGCTTTCTTCCTGACCCTCGCTGTTCTTCCTATCTTGGGAACTTCTGAAATGCTCAGGCATGGGAAAGTCATGTCTTGCTTTGGGTAGTTTCTAAACATCTGCATGACCCCTTAAGTGAATTTGGGAGGATCTGCCCACTCTTCTTGAACCTTTACCCTACAAGTTTATGAGGCTAAAATGAGACTGTGACAATGAAGTTCCTAGGGGCAGTATGTAAAGTTTACTATGCCTGTAGTAATTTTGATTCTATTTATTTCATTTTTTCCTAGCATGGGCCTCCTACATGACCAATTCTCCAACTCTCATCGTTATGATTGGCTTGCCAGCCCGGGGTAAAACCTATGTGTCTAAAAAACTAACACGCTACCTCAACTGGATTGGGGTGCCCACCAAAGGTAGGTGAGAGTCATTCCTTGGGAAGTGAATGGTTAGTCCCTGGGTTCCACAGGTCTCTGGGAGACTAATTCTTCCTGGCATCAAGGTTCCGAGGTGCTTCTGGCTGAAGTAGTGGTGGTTTCCTTGTTTGCTTAATTTATTCTCTGTCCCCAGACTTGTTTTTTCCTGGCCTAGGCTGAGAGGATAACTTTGATAGGAATATTAAGATTAAGTGAAAAGTTTGGCATCGGTGTCTCATACCTATAATCCCAAACTATTCAGAAGGCTGAAATCTGAGGAGCACGATTCAAAGCCAACTGAGCAGAAAGGTCCATTTATTCCTAATTAACCACCAAAAAGCTAGAAGTGAGGGTATAGCTCAAGTGGTAGAGTGCCAGCCTGTACCCAGGCCCAGGCCCTGAGTTCTAGCCCGTACAGTGTGTGTGTGTGTGTGCGTGCGTGCGTGCATGCGTGCGCGCGCACGCACCCTAACAGATGTCCTGTTATCTAACCCTAACAGTGCTGTGATAAGACAGTTGCTGAAGAAATTACCAGCCACACAGCTGAACACTTGATGACAGTCTTTAAAGTCAGGACTCAGCCCTAACTTTTTGTGACTTAATCTGCTGTAGTTCCCACCCCACCACAGTACCACTCTGCCATGAGGCCAAGAAATCCCCTTTTGTCAGCACCATTGTATTGCCTTGCTGCTGATGGATTTGGGTCTTCCGTAGTGTTTAACCTTGGAGTATATCGGCGGGAAGCAGTGAAATCCTATAAATCTTATGACTTCTTTCGGCACGACAACGAGGAGGCCATGAAGATCCGCAAGTGAGTCTTTTTCTTTTCTTTCTGAGTCCTGACATCCAAATCAGCTCTCTCTGGGCTATCCTAAGGCTGTATGTGATAGATAGGGCTTTCTGTATTCTTATTAAATATCTTGAGTTTCTAAAAGTAGAAGTTATTGGGTGGACAGATCATCTTGGACTTGGCTAGGTAGGAGAATAGAAAATAGAGCCCGAGTAGAGAACAGAGCCTGCGGGGAGATGCTCGTTTGCTTGAAGGCTAAGGCTTAAAGAGGAGTAAGATAACTGCATTGGGCAGGTACAGGAGGGTGTTAAAACCTCAGCGGGAAAAGTGAAAGATGCAGCTGAGGAAACATTTTGACCCGTGGGAAGCTGAGTGTGAAGGTATGTGACTCTTCTGACTGTTTGTGTCTCTACTGTGCATGCACTTAACTCTTCTCACCTTTTCCTCTGCTCTTCTGACAGACAGTGTGCTCTGGTGGCCCTGGAGGATGTGAAGGCCTATCTCACAGAGGAGAACGGGCAGATTGCGGTAAGCCTTGTCTCCTTCTCAGTCTCCAGCCTTTCAGCATCTGGGCTCCTCAGCCCCTCCTTGGGTCTGCCTTGATGGTGGGGGTTCCATTTCTCCCTTCCCGTTCAGTTCACTTTTCTGCTTCCTGCTCAGGTGTTTGATGCCACCAATACTACCCGAGAGCGGAGGGACCTGATTTTGAACTTTGCTGAAGAGAATTCCTTCAAGGTAGGCTCTGATTCCATGTTAGGGGAGGATAGGAAAGGAAATGAGTGAAGATGGGGAATTGGGAAAGGGGCACAGAACTCTCTGGAGTCTGGTAAGAGCAGGATTGGATGTGTGATTCTTTTCTCTTGGGGCATATCCCCAGTCCTTGAGTGTTTTCTTTCAGGTCCCTTCTCAGACCTTTAGCCTGTATGTTTGAGGCCCAGGGGATGTGGTAAGAGGCATTTTTAAATGAGGAGGCTTTGAAGATCACCTTCATGAAGAAAATCCTGGGAGATGTAGTGGCTGGGTGGGGCAGGTGAGCCTGTGCTCTTACTGAACAGTCTGGCATTTTTGACGTGTTGATCATTCCCTTTTCTTCCTGGCCAGGTATTCTTCGTGGAATCTGTCTGTGATGATCCTGATGTCATTGCTGCCAACATACTGGTGGGTGACATGGTTATCTGTCACCTTTGGTGCCCTGTATGTGTGGCTGCATAGGGAGGGCTTCTGGGTATTGGAAGAGAGAAACCCACCTGTTTAACATCACAGAGATCTTTTCTATCAGAGCACTATTCAGTACTTCCATACTCTTCTAAGGAAGTCTTAGAAGCTGAGAATTAGCTGTTGAATGGAGACCAAGATTTAGACTGTGGGAGTGTTAGCCTTGTATTCTGATAGTATCTGGATGTTGAGACCTGAATATTACATTAGATCAGAAAATGAAAGACCTTCTCTGTTAGGGCTGCCTTAGTTAGAGGAGAGTCATCTGCTGGTTAATCTGAGCTTTCCTTTGGGAAACAATCCTTCCTGTTTCCCTCTGTCCCCTGTCTCATTTTGCTAAGCTGGACCTATAACGTTTGGATCTGTCAGCCTCCTATATATTAAGAAACCCAATGTATAGGATCCCTCATGCCCCGTGGGATCACAGTACAAGAAAGTCCCTGTTCAAAGGGACTGGTCTGTCAGAAGTACACATCTCCACATGACCACCAAAGGGGCTTTCCCAGCTGCACAGGAACTGGGGTCATCTAAGGAAGAGGCCCTGTGTCCTGAGTCAGGCATGGAGGAGTGGCAGTAGGAGAAAATCAGAGCCCATTCTTTCCCCATTTTCCTTTTCCAAGAAAGTACACAAAGGGATTGGGGCCCAGAAGCAGCAGCAGCCAAGGGCAGGCACATGACTCTCCAGTGGTCTGTTCCTTCTTGGTTGCCAGGGTCACAGGACAGGACAGAGGTGGACAGAAATGCCAGTGCTCTAGGGAAAGACAACGTTCGTGAAATGAGGGCTGTTTAGGGCAGAGCTCTGACCCGGGCTGTGGTGACTATGCCTATGATTTCAGGAGGTGAAGGTGTCCAGCCCTGACTACCCTGAAAGGAACAGGGAGAATGTGATGGAGGACTTCCTCAAGAGAATCGAGTGCTACAAAGTCACCTACCGACCCCTTGACCCAGACAACTATGACAAGTAAGGTTTAAGACCGTGTGTGTGTGTGTGCGTGTGAGAATCATGGGTCTTAAAATCAGGGCCTGGCACTATCCCTGAGCTCCTTTCCCTCAAGGCTTTGAGCCACAGTTCTACTTTTGGTACTCTAGTGGTTAACTAGAGATAAGAGTCTCACGGGGGCTGGGAAGGTGGCTCAGTGGTAGAGCACTTGCCTTGCATGCATGAGACCCTGGGTTCGATTCCTCAGCACCACATAAGAAAAAGAAAAAAGCCGGAAGTGGCGCTGTAGCTCAAGTGGCAAAGCACTAGCCTTGAGCTGAAGAGCTGAGGGACAGTGCCCAGACCCAGAGTTCAGGCCCCATGACCGGACCCCCCCCCAAAAAAAAAAAGAGTCTCATGGACTTTCCTGTCTGGGCTGGCTTTGAACTGTGATCTTCAGATCTCAGCCTCCTGAGTAATTAGGTCTGCAGGTGTGAGTCATTGGCTCCTGGCTAAAGCCATAGTTTTTTTTGGGGGGGGGTCCGGTTGTGGGGCCTGAACTCTGGGCCTGGGCGCTGTCCCTCAGCTCTTCAGCTCAAGGCTAGCGCTCTACCACTTGAGCCACAGCGCCACTTCTGGCTTTTTTCTTTTTGCTTATGTGGTGCTAAGAAATCGAACCCAGGGCCTCATGCATTGCAAGGCAAGTGCTCTACCACTGAGCCACCTTCCCAGCCCCTAAAGCCATAGTTTTTTTTTTTTATTTTTAAATCTTTTTTTGGAGGGTCTGGTCGTGGGGCCTGAACTCTGGGCCTGGGTGCTATCTGTCAGCTCTTCAGCTCAAGGCTAGCACTCTACCACTTGAGCCACAGCACCACTTCCGGCTTTTTTCTTTTTGCTTATGTGGTGCTAAGGAATCGAACCCAGGGCCTCATGCATACAAGGCAAGCGCTCTACCACTGAGCCACCGTCCCAGCCCTAAAGCCATAGTTTTAAGGAGCTGAAGCAGCGTTCTCATTTGGGAAAGGAGCCCTTCTCCCTCTGTCCATTGAGTTCCATCTGTGAATCTAGAACTATAATGTTCACATTATTATTATTGTTGTTGTTGCATCTTATTCTTCAATAATGAAGTGTTTTTGTATCATCCGTTTTTCTACTCCTTTTTCCCCATGCTTTTTCCATCTTGTATTAATGATACTTCCCTTTTGAACTTGGGCATCCTATACATTGTAGGTAGTCTAGCAAATCATTGGCCTCTGTCCACAGGCTGCCAGTAACACCTGCAAGCTTATAATTAGCAGCAAATTTTGGCCTTAGCAAAGTTGTCATGTCACCCAGACTTGGTACGGTCTCCTGGTGGAAAGGCCAAATTCTGTTTACTGTATTTATCTATGTTGCTTGCCATAGTATAGGCACTGAGAAAACAGTATGGGCTGCTTAGAAGCTCACGTTGATTTGGAGGAATTATCCATCTCTCACCACCCACATCTATAAACAGGGGAATGATGGGACAGGAGGAGGAACTGCTGTGGGGTGCATCCTCCCCCCACATGCTTAGCCTCAACCTTTCTTACTCTTACTTACTTATTTTGCCTCCTTTTGTCTTAGGGATCTTTCTTTCATCAAGGTAATGAATGTGGGTCAACGATTTTTAGTCAACAGAGTCCAGGACTACATCCAGAGCAAGATTGTCTACTACCTCATGAATATCCACGTCCATCCACGTACCATTTACCTTTGCCGGCATGGAGAGAGTGAATTCAATCTCTTAGGGAAGATTGGGGGTGACTCCGGCCTCTCGGTACGGGGAAAGCAGGTGAGTAGTTAACCAACAGGCTGGATTTTCTAGGCTTAAGAGTTAGAAGGGTATGGTGGAGGTCATCTATTTTATCTCCTTCTTCTTAAATCCCATGTGGGCTTAGAAGTGGTTTCAGAGTCGGGCAGGTGCTATAAATGTTCCCTGCTCAGTGTCCCTAGTTCTGTATTAAAGAATAGTAGCTTTCTTCTGTGAATCATTCAGGCATTCGGCAGTCACTGAGTGTGACTTGTATTCTTAGCACAACTGGGTGCTCCAGTTGAAGTTAATTTTCCCTGAAAATTGTATTTTAACCATGGCTGGATAAAAAGCCCATTATAGGAGGAGTGTGTTAATTTTTATTTTCAAACCTTAGTTTTCCCAGGCTCTAAAGAAGTTTCTGGAGGAACAAGAGATACAAGACCTCAAAGTGTGGACAAGCCAGTTGAAGAGGACTATCCAGACAGCTGAATCTCTTGGGGTGACTTATGAGCAGTGGAAGATTCTGAACGAGATTGATGCTGTGAGTGTGTGTGTGTGTGTGTGTGTGTGTGTCAGAGCATTCAGGTTTAGGTTCAGAAGAAACTCTCAGAAGTTGTGATTTGGGTAGTTTTATCTAGATAACTAGAACCACCCAGTAGAAACTTTGAGGAATCTGCATATGTGGCCATGGGTGGGGAGGGGAGTTAGGGGAAGGAGGAAATGGGAACAGTTGCAGCCCATATCAAGACTTCTATAGCATCGGTGCCAGTGACGGGACTTAAACCAGCTTTGACCCAGCCACTCTGACCTATGGGAGGACTAGCTAACAATGACTCATTTTGTTCCTTTGTATATTTTGTTCCTAGGAATAAAGAAATAGCTAGTATTGTCCTCAAATTTTTTGTGCTTAAGATGAGTTATTCTGGAAAAATCCATCCCCAGAATTTCCCTTGGCTTGCTCTAGGCTGAGAAATTGAGAACAGTAGATATTTCATTTTCCTTTTTTCCTGTGTTTATGCCTACTGAAAGATTTCCATTTCCTTCACGTCTCCCTGTGTGTTTCCTGTATGTTTTGTCGTGTTGATGCTTCTTGGAAGTTTAGGTTCACCACAGTAGTAGGAGGTAGTGGCCACTAAAGCTAGAAAGCTGCCTTTTCTCTATAGTGGCACTTACCTAGTGATACCTTGGTCCCAATCTGCCATAATATATGAGGAATCCAGCACAGGGCCTGGAATGTGGTGAGAAATATGCATTCTTTAGTGCTGTTCTCATTAGTGATGGAACATGACGGGCCAGTGTACTTCCTCATGCCAGCATGGCTCCTTGCAGGGCGTGTGTGAGGAGATGACCTATGCAGAGATTGAGAAGCAGTACCCAGAGGAGTTTGCACTCCGAGATCAAGAGAAGTATCTGTATCGATATCCAGGTGGAGAGGTGAGACTCCCTTGGAATAATAACTGCCTCGCCCTTTGCCTGGGGACTTTACGTTAGAGGGGAGGACTGAAAGTGATCTCAGATGGGGAGGGAATATAGAAAGGGTGGCTCAGGCATCATTTATTTTCCTACCTTTGGATCATACTGTGTCTAATTCAGGCTAGACAATTGCATTGTCTCATTCATTAAGATTTCTAGGGAGTAGGTGATGAGAGGTCCTCTGTGGAGAATCAACATGATCTTTTTTTTTTTTTTTCATTCTCAATCCCACCCTACCCAAGCCAGTAGTCACCAAGTAGAGAACATGGGGTCATAAATTACTTCCCCATCATATCCAGAAAGCTGTTTTCTCCTGTAGGTGGCCTTCTACTCTAGGGGTGTGCCAGGGCAAAAGTAAATAAAATGGCAAAAGTCCAACAAACTAGGTTCTCTTGTTGCCTTATCTGTTACGTATGAATCTGTGGACAGAAGAGGAAAAGAACATTTGAATTCAAACTTCCTTCCTGGAGTTGTAGTTTTCTTGGTCTAAATAGGGATCTTTCAAGAGCTGAGTATTATACTAGAGATACTGGGGAGGAGGACGCAGTGAGCTGTCGTGGGTATGCTGAGCCTCCAGGAGGAAAGCCGGCCAGGGAATGGAAGTGACTGCTGGACTCTGGGACTTAGTCACCATCTTGGCTGTCAGATCGCATCTGGCCTCCTACCAGCTCACCCCATTTCCCCCCACAGTCATACCAGGACCTAGTACAACGGCTGGAGCCTGTCATCATGGAGCTGGAACGTCAGGGCAATGTCCTTGTCATCTCCCATCAAGCTGTCATGCGCTGCCTCCTGGCCTACTTCTTAGATAAGGGCGCAGGTACCATTAAGGGACGGGCTGGGAGACACCTCCATGGGAAGAGGGCAGGGCTCGCAGCACTACCAGGATTCCTGGCCATGGGACCTCCCCCTCTTCCACTCAAGTTACAGTACATTCTTCAGGCAGCAGAGCGGAACTCCCAGCAGCCATCTGTCAACTACTTGCTGACTTTACTCTGCTACTACAAAAGCTCTCAGTGTAGGGAAGCTGCTTTGGCACAGCGTGATCTTGCCTGGCTAAAGCACCAGAGTTGTGCAAATGTTCCTGGCAGCATCAAAGGAGTGACTGAAGAGTCCCAGCTTGTTACTCTGGTTACTAAGAGGTGGTATCTTAGAAGCATCTCTAGCCTTTGAGTTGGGGACAGAGCAGCTTTTTCTAGTAAGAGTAGTGAAGAAGAGCTGCTACCTTCTAGTCCTTCCCTTCTCCGTTCCCTCAGCTATTGAAAGCCTACAGGCTGACCATATAGGCCATAGTCTTCTCTTCCTGCCTATAGCTCTTACTTCCTGTTTTGCTTTCATGGAAGGATCCAGATTGACCATATTTCCTTCCTTACTACTTGGGCCTTGATCCTTGTCTGGAACTGAGGGAGAAGCCATACAACTCTGGGTGGTGGTCAGGGTACAGTAAACTCCTCATGAGCACCTTAGGTTCCCTCTTCCACTCCCTTGACCTTACTCTGTAGTTCTAAGTTCCTTCCTTCACATGCCTTTATTTTTTTTTCTGTTTTCAGATGAGCTACCATACTTGAAGTGTCCTCTCCATACCATCTTCAAACTTACTCCTGTGGCCTATGGTAACTATACGCTTGGGCTGGCAGGAAGTGTGGGGATGGAGAAGGTTGGGAAATCTGAGATGTCTCTGAAGGTTGTCTGGAAGTTCAATTCATTAATCCTGGGTGCACCAGAAACATCCATTAGTGCTGTCCATTTCTAAAGGGTTACACGTATTTGTGGTGTTTTGATGGTAGAGTTCCTTGTGCTGAACTCAAGGAATATTCCATTGGATCTTTCTCCTGAAGTTTTTTCTTTCTACTGTTCTTCTCAGGGTGCAAAGTAGAAACAATTACCCTCAACGTGGAGGCTGTGAACACACACCGGGACAAGCCAACCGTAAGTATTTTCCCACGGATAAACAAGCCAGGTTCCTACCTTGAGTTCCTACCTTTGGCATCAAGAGACTGGTGTGTCTCTGATGTTAAGAGGGAAACAGATCCAATACTTATGGCCCATGTAGAGTGCTTTCTTCCAAAAGGAAAAGATGTGGGGTTTATTTTTTATTTCTTGAAATGAGGATCTCTTTCATGAATCTTAGCCTTGAAAGTTGGTTCCTGGAAATTCATTTAAATATAAAAAGTGTTTGGCTGGAGTGCTATGCAGGTTCTTCTTGACCCCTTCCCCTTTCTAGCCCCAGAAGGCCTCCTTTTATAAATCAGGGCCCAGAAGAGTCTACCAGGCGGGGTCAACAGGTTTTGGTGGGTTTCTCTATCTGTCCCTGGTAAACTGTTAGGCCCCTTTCTTGTTCTGGAATGTGTTGCTCAGGGAATGGATTGTACTATGTCCCTTTTAGCCTCTGGGGCTAGGCTGTGTCCTGTGCAAGACCCTATGCGAAGGAAGTTGTGGTTACAAGCTTTTTTATTTTTTACCTTTATGGGTGAGCTGTTGGCATGGCTTTCATTTGTATGGTGTCCCTCCATTTCCAATCAGAACAACCTCCCCAAGAACCAAACCCCTGTAAGGATGAGAAGGAACAGCTTTACGCCTCTGTCCAGTTCGAATACAATCAGGCGTCCAAGAAATTACAGTGTTGGGAGCCGGCCCCTCAAGCCCCTCAGCCCTCTTCGTGCCCTGGACATGCAAGAAGGGGCCGACCAGCCGAAGACCCAAGTCAGCATTCCGGTGGTGTAACCGTGTGTTTCCCTCCAGCCCTTGTCACTAATCACCAAGGAGTAACTTAACTTCCACCCCACCCCCCCACCCTCAACACCTTACCATTCATCTGAATGCAGAATGGGCCAGGTTGGTCCTGCATGGGCAGACCAACTCGACCCATTCTCCATTTTGAAATTATCTCCTTACCTGGGGGCAAGATGTCAGGATGGGTCTCTTAGGTTAGATTACCAGTTGGGGGGGGATCTGGAGGAGGAGGAGAAGAGTGTATACTCTCCTGGGGCCTCATGAATGTGGGTCTCTCTGTTTCCTGGTGTCTAAACTTACTAATGTCCTGTGTTGGTGCACTGGGAGATGGTGTTGGAGAGAGACACTATAGCCCATTTGTCTTTCACCTTTGTCCCTTTCTTGTGTCTTTTGGCCACTATCCTTCCTTGACTCCCCCTGCCCTCTCCCTTTTGGATTGTCCAGTGTCATGCATGGTGTGATGGTATCTTTTGAAGGAAGAGGGCTGTTGGTGTGGGAGAAGTTTGGGATCCGTTAGTGGTATTTGCAGTGAGTCTCTGTGGATCTGCGTTGGGAGAGTCTTTCCTTTCCATTCCTTCTCCCTTCATCTCCAGCCAGGTCCTGCCATAGTCTGCCCAGGCTACAGAACATACACAGAATGCTCTGCAGCTTGCAGATGGACATAGGGCAAGAGCCTCTTTCTGTGAGAAACAATTGCAGGGTGTTGATGGTCTGGGGGACATGGGTCTGAGGATGTGGGTTATGTCTTGTTGACGTGGTCTTTTTCTGGCTGTGGAATGGGGTTCCAGAGAATAGTTCTTTTAGGCTCTCAGTTGAGGTAGGCGTTTTCTCCTGTGACTTTCAGGTTTATTGCCAATCATAGCAACTTTACTGCCACAGCCAGTGGTCTCTGGGTCTGTTTAGAAGGACTGAGCTAGACTCTGAATTGTTCCAGGCAAAAGAGACAAGAGTTCACTAAACCTGCTCATTATCGAGAATTTTTTTGGTCACATTTTCCTAAACTTAGATTTCTTTTAACATATTTTTCTAATGTGGAAAAGCTTTGATGATAAATTTAATCTCTCCTATTTCCCTACTTCTTTTTTTTTTTTTTTGGTCAGTCGTGGGGCCTGAAGTCTGGGCCTGGGCACTGTCCCTCAGCTCTTCAGCTCAAGGCTAGCACTCTACCACTTGAGCCACAGCACCATTTCCGGCTTTCTCTGTTTATGTGATGCTGAGGAATCAAACCCATTTCCTCATGCATGCAAGGCAAGCACTCTACCACTGAGCCATCTTCCCAGCCCTCCCTACTTCATTTTTAAGGAGATTCTCTCATGTTAAGGTCCTGAGATGTCCCAAGGAACCATAGTTCTTGACACTATTTATATTAAGCCCCATAATTAAGGCCTATGATGGCTTATACTCTGTTCCCAAATTTGCATATAAAAGAAATGGATGTACACATGGGCATTTTCCTGAGCTTTCTGGAGACTTTTTCTTAGAAGAGTTAGGTGGCTCCCTACCTCTCAACTGTTGTATGGTAGAAACTGGTAAGAGAAAGTTAGCTCTTTTCCCAGAGTGTTTTCATTTGTTTGTTTTTGTGATAGAAATCCTTTCACCGTTCTCATCAGGAGCATTCCTTAGAATCCCCTTTAGAACTTTGGAACATACACCTTGCTGGGTCTAATCGAGTCAGGCGGAGGAGCACTGATTCCCAGTCTCTGGAGTAATGACTGGACATGTATGTGTCTCCTTCTGATTCTGATTCACACTCCAGGATAGTAACTCCACCAGCTGGAGCTGGGGACAATAGTTTCTTGGATACATTTCAGCTTTGGAATTCTGAGCTTTCTTTGTTCTGAGAAGACAGTTCTTTGGAGTTAGATGTTAGAGCAGAATTTAGTATGAAATTAAAGGCAGGCAAGTTGTTCTCAGTTCTCATCTCATCATTTCCTCTTCACATTGAGGGGGATGTGGAACAAAGCACTAAACTAAATAAATGTTCTTGGATGAGGATCTGAAGCAGGCTGGTGAGAGGGAGAACCTCTAGGATGATGAAGGTTGCCAGGTACCACTGGCTCACGCCTATCATCCTAGCTACTCAGGAGGCTGAGAGCTGAAGATCATGGTTTGAAGCCAGCTGGAGCAGTAAAGTCCATAAAGCTCTTACCTCCAATGTTATAACCACTAAAAAGCCAGAAATGGAGCTGTGGTTCAAATGGTAGAGTACCAGTCGTGAGCAAAAGAGGCAAGGGAGAGGGCCTAAGCCCAGAGTTTAAGCCCCAGATCCAGCACGCACGCACGCACACACATACACATGCATGATGAAGGCTGTCACTTTAGGCAGCTGCCTCCTAGCTTCATTTTTTTTTTTTTTTTTTGTCAGTCATGGGGCTTGAGCTCTGGGCCTGGGTGCTGCCCCTGCCCTCTTGAGCTCAAGGCGAGCACTCCACCAATTGAGCCACAGCGCCACTTCTGGTTTTCTAGTGGTTTATTGGAGATAAGAGTCTCATGGACTTTCTTGCCTGGGCTGGCTTTGAACCATAATGCTCAGATCTCAGCCTCCTGAGTAGCTAGGATTACAGGCGTGAGCCACCGGCGCCCAGTATTAGCTTCAGTCCTTTACTGTTACATTCCTCTTAGAATACCTCATCCAGTTTCCAAAGTTTGGAAACTTTAAAGATTCTCTCAAAACTGTATCTAAGATAGAAAGTAACCTGCCCTCCCTAATAAGCTGTTGCACAATGTCTTTAGTGTCCTTAGCCGTGGGACTCTGGACTGGGCAGAGGACCCACAGAAGAAAAAAAGCTTCTTCCCCTGAACTAAGTTACTTTGAGACAGAGGACAATGCGATTTATAACAAATGAACATGTGTAAAAGGACAGTTTGCTGAATCCAGAAGTGTCGAAATGGCAGTGGAGAACAGATCGCTCGCTGTTCTGGCTCTTGTCCTATGGACAAAGATTAGATGGTGGGTATGCCCCCTCCCCACAGTGGGACAAGGAGGTATGGTCTGGGAGGTAGGAGTGACACTTTTATAAGCTTGCCTTGTGTAGCTTTTGCTTGCATGGTGGCAATTCTAGCCCAAATTGGACATCAACCTTCCCTCTACTATGTGTGAAGTAAGAAGAAGTCAGAGATAATGAATGAGGAAAAGGATAAACTTTGGGGTTGAGGCTGCATAATCTTTGAAGGGACTTTCTCTGATCAACTAGTACTGATTTAACCTATTAGAAACACTATCACCCAAGACAGGCTATTAGATGTGTGTTCTGACTCTGTTGACTGTTTTGCAAAGTATTGGTTTGCTTCTCAGAAAAGGAACCAGGTAGACTTACTATAGGACAGGAGAAGTTAGAATTTGAAAGCAACAAGAGTTTCAACATCTTTCCATTTTTAGACAAGATCCTTTCAAGAAGGGGAAGCCAGGACAATACAGAATCGAATAGAGCTCTTATTCCAAATTGTAGGAAGTCTCCCTTGCATCTTTTTCTGCCCTTCTCACTCCTTGTTAGCTTAAAGGCATACCGGCGGTAGGTACATATTACTCTTTTTGGGTTTCCATCACAAATCCTACAAAGAAAAGATGGTATCTGAAGTACTGTTTGCTGAGGATCTGAGTTTTGTTAGGGGGAAATAGGTGAAGACTTTGGCATTTTATTACCAGTAGAAAGTAAGGAAAAGAAATTCTTAATACTGTTTTCTTTTTCTTGCTTCAAAGTAGAATGAGGAAGTCTGTGTTATTTAACAGAAGAATCAGAAGCAAACTTTTGGAGACTTCAGTTCTTTCCTTATCTTCCGATTTCCAGATTGAAATTTGGCCTTTAGTTCTGGGTGAGAGAAGGGATGGTTTTCCACTGATTTAGAAAGAATAAGAAAATGCAGTGTGCTAGCTTTATATCATTGCCCCATTTCTCAAGAAGCTAGGGTCAGGGATACAATATATATTTTCACTCCAAGACAAGTGGTTCAGTGTTTCAGGTGAGGATCTAGGCAGTTCCGTTTGCAATCCACATTTGATCTCTGGCATTTGAAGAAGCAAAAGATGTACATGTTTGGCAGTAAATCCATTTTAGGATTTTTTTTTGCGGGGGGGGGTGGAGGGGGGGAGTGGACTGGAGATCTGAGTTCTAGAGAAACTCTTTTGATGCTTGGGGTTGCGAGTAATCAATAGCCAGGTGATGTTATCTCCTGCATATCTGCTTCTTTTCCAAGCTCAAAACCCATGTTGTATTTATTGTTAGGAAATTTACTAGAAGTACCCACTTTTTCTTGTATATACTTCGATTGGTTTGTGTTTAAAATGATTTTTATCTTAAGAATATATGACAACTGAGTCAAGTTGCAACATTGAGTTTTAGATCTTTGATTTTTTTTTTCACTAAAGGCAACACACATCAGCAGTATGTCCCAAGAATATATAATTACCATGTCAGCTGACTGACAGGTTCTAATACATCTATAAGCTAATAACCCACTTGTTTTTCCATTGTACTGCCTGGTAATATATGCACATGATTGTAATTCTCTGTCTATACCACATTTCCTATGTTTTTTTTTTAGATTTCTTTTTTTAAAATTTTTATTGTGAAAATACTGTACAGAGGGGTTACAATTACATGGGAAAGATAATGAGTACATTTCTTATCAAGCACTGTAGCCTCCTCTTTCGTTTCCCCTTCCCATCCCTTCCCATCCTCCCTCTGTCCCCCCCACCCAATTCTCCCCCCCCAACCAAAGTTGTAAAGTTTGTTTTCGACATGACAACTTGTACTTCTCATTGTTGCAACGGGTCCACCTGTATCCTTATTTAAACAACTTGTTTTTCCCCTTCCCCTCCACATATATACACAATGGAATTCTATGCCTCCATCAGAAAGAATGACATTGCCCCATTTGTTAGGAAATGGAAAGGCTTGGAAAAAATTATATTAAGTGAAGTAAGCCAAGCCCAAAGAAACATAGGTCCCATGGTTTCCCTTATTTGCAATATCTAGTATATGTATGAGTCAAGCAGAAAAGGTCAGATAAGGTGAGGTAAGAAAAAGAACCCTAAGATATGTATTCAAATGTTTTTTTCTTTCATGCGATTGTTTCTAACACATTTTTAAGATTATTTCTTTGTTGCTTTGTATGTCCCTCCCCCACAGTATAACTCCTGCTTTCCTATGTTTTTTAAAGGAACTAAATACTTAGAAAACTAAGCCCGTTTTCTTCATGGGGAATTTCTGTACACTATAATTTTTCATAGGTATGTTTTGTATAATAGTGTCTAAAACTCACATTTTTTTGGGGGGGTCCGGTTGTGGAGCCTGAACTCTGGGCCTGGGCGCTGTCCCTCAGCTCTTCAGCTCAAGGCTAGCATTCTACCACTTGAGCCACAGCGCCACTTCCGGCTTTTTTCTTTTTTTGCTTATGTGGTGCTTAGGAATCAAACCCAGGGCCTCAGGCATGCAAGGCAAGCGCTCTACCACTGAGCCACCTTCCTAGCCCTCATTGTTTTTTTTAAGATGACAATTGTACATAATGTGTATGGTATTTGGTGAACTCAGCTAAGGTAATACCTGTTCAGAGCCTGAAGTTGTAATGTCTACTAGATTTTATCTCACTCAGTACCTGGCTTTGGGGCTTTTATTGTCTGACTCTGAACTCTCTGTATTCTCTGCTTACTCTGCCACGGCATGTACCATTCCATCGAAGAGTTTTCAGTCTGTCATGGCTTTGCTTTTAATCTAATAAGTAAAAATTCAAGGGGGCTGGGAATGCAGCTTAGTGGTAGAGTGCTTGCCTAGCATGCATGAAGCCCTAGCTTCAATTCCTTAGTACCACATAAACAGAAAAAGCCAGAAGTGGTGCTGTGGCTCAAGTGGTAGAGTGCTAGCCTTGAGCAAAAGAAGCTCACAGACAGTGCCCAGGCCCGGAGTTCAAGCCCCAGGACTGACAAAATAAATAAATAAATAAATCTAAGGAAATTTTATATTCAAAACTGATTTTTAAGACTGAGTCACAAGTATTCTTTCCAATTTTCATTGGACATCTGGGACCAGAATCTATCCGTTTACTGTTATTGTATCTAAATTCTTTGTGAGTATTTTTCTGCATTGAAGTAACAGGATCAATCATTCTCATAAGGTGATGGGTTTTCTATGGCAAAGGACTGATCACAAATGGTGCCCTTTGGAGGGGAATAGCAGTGGGCTGAGCACTATTGTTTTGGATGGAAATGGGGTGGAGGAACGGAGTTCTGCTGCAGATTTCCTAGTTACAGCTATATTGAAAGTGGGATTGTCAATCCTTAGCAGCATTCTAATTTAATCTGGTGATAATGATAAAATATTTTACTCAGATCTATTTAAGGTATATATAACTGTATTTGAAATGTGTTTGTTTTGGGGGGGGAGGGTGTGTGTGTGTGTGTGTGTGTGTGTGTGTGTGTGTGTGTGTGTGTGTGTAGAATGGGTTAATAAAATTGTTGCATAATTTGAACCTACCAGAAGACTTCTGGGTTTTTTGTTTTGTATTTTGGATTATGTTCTGCAACTGCTTCCCACCCCTTTACCTCATGGTGCTGCATAATGTCAACATTGTTGTACAACACAGACTTGGGCAGGCTCAATATAATTTGAGTAGAGAACATGGAGCAGGCATGGCTGTCTGTCACCACCTGCTGGGGAAGATGGGAAGGACATGGGAGGAACGTGAACAAATACTAATGTATTACTGCTGGTGCCTCTTTAAGAATTAAGAAGAAACTTACACATGTCCATGTAGTGTCATGATTCCCAGTAACAACGTATAACTCATATAAAAGAGATCTTTTAGAATTTGTTGGGCTGTTGCTTCTAAAGTATACCATGCCTCTTTCTAAAGAGATTACACTCAAGAGGGTATTTCATTTCTGGACAGAAGTGGTAGTTTCACTGTTCTCTAGCCTTATTCTTTGTGACTCTAACAATGACTCAGGAGCTCATTAGTAATGCAGATTCTCAGGTTCGATCTCAAACCCACCAAATCAGAACCTGGTAGCAGTTGAGTTAGGCACATTTAACATTTGACGAAGACTTGGTGGGGGGAAATTGTTTTCACAAGGTAAAACATTAAATCCTAGACCATGGGAAGAGGTTGATCTGTTTGATGATTGGTTTCAGAACAGACAGGTACAACAGAAGAGATTGTCCTCAGGAAAGAGTTCCTGATCACATAGACTGAGTAGCCTGCATACTCTTGTTTGTCTGTCTGTCTTGTTTTTAACCACAGGGACATGCCCACTTCAGCCTCATATCTTGGGTATGTAGCTTGTGGCTCAGGTCTAAAAGGGCACTTGTCCCAACATGATCACGAGGTCAGCTTCTCAGGAAAAGAAGCCCCTAACTATGCTGTTAGAATTTGCCTGATTTGCCATGGTCGAGCTGTGTGGAGGCATGGCGGTGTGTCCTCACCTGCATGGGGACCTGGGGATGAGAGGATGGGGGTGACGAAAGCGGTGGGGAGGGATTCGTCTTGCTTCTCTTCATCTTTCGGTTACAGTAAACGGCCTTGCTTCTCTTCCCTCTCTGACTCCTAGGGAGAGAACACTTCGCAGACTATGCAAACACCGGTCTCTGTGGCATCCCTCACCTTGAATCCTTGAGGCCAGATCTCTGGGAGAAAGCCATCTACTGGAAAGCTTGGGAAGTCAGCACCACCAAAGCTAGAACAGGAAGTTGAGTGGAGTCTGAAAATTTGGGCCACTGAAATGGGGCCTGGGGAAATGTCCCATTTCTTCTCCTCACGCCTACTCTGGTGATATCAGCTATACTGTGCCTCAAAACGTTTAACAGCCTCAGTCGAGTCTTGTCTCTTTGCTGGGTTTCACCCAGGTTTGCAAATGTCATTCTGTTTAAAAATTGTCTGGTGGTTGGTGGCTCATGCCTGTAATCCTAGCTACTCAGGAGGCTGAGATATGAGGATCACAGTTCGAAGCCAGCCTGGGCTGAAAAGTCCCCATGAGACTTTTTTTTTGGGGGGGGGGGTGGTGTCTGGTCGTGGGGCCTGAACTCTGGGCCTGGGCGCTGTCCCTCAGCTCAAGGCTAGCACTCTACCACTTGAGCCACAGAGCCACTTCCGGCTTTTTTTTTTGGCTTATGTGGTGCTGAGGATCGAACCCAGGGCCTGATGTATGCAAGGCAAGCGCTCTACCACTGAGCCACCTTCCCAGCTCCCCCATAAGACTCTTATGTCCAATTAACCACCAAGAAAACTGGAAGTTTTCTTTGAGCTGTGACTCAAAGTGGTAGAGTGCTAGCCTTGAGCAAAAGAGCTCAGGGACAGCACCTAGGTCTTGAGTTCAAACCCCAAGACTGGGAAAAAAGAATTTAATATTCTACCTATGAATTATGTGTGCCCCTAACTGGCTTTTTTTTTTTAACCTAAAGTGTAACACTTCTCTTCAAAATGGATTTCTAGGTGAGAGGAATTAACTCCAGGAAGTCTTTGCATCTATTGCAAATGAGCAGGCTAGAACCTGTGTACCTTAACACTGGAAATGAGATGAATCGTCAGGGGAAGGAAGGATATCTGAGAAATTCCATCCCTACAGTACCTCTGCTGTGGTGATGAGAGAAGCAGTGGCCACAGCATAGTTTTCACTTAGAGAAGTTTTCCTCTTTCCAAGCCTTTCAGGACAGCTTCTCATTGGAGCACTGTCCCCTAAAGGGTACCCATAGTTCAGTTCTTTCCCCCCTCCCCCACCTTTGGTAGCTGTTGTGGTTTCTACATGAAGAGGATGAAGAGGACTGGTTCAGTTCTGTGGGGTGATGAGTGATAGATGGAGATAGATAGAGAAAGATGCAAGCTAGTGTAGTAGGGTGTCATTGTTATCCCACAAAGAAATTCGCCTGAGTGTTGTCAGGTGCTGGTAGCTCATGCCTATAATCCTAGCTACTCAGGAGGCTGAAATTGAGAGGATCATGAATTGAAGCCAGCCAAGGCAGGAAAGTCTGTAACAGACTTTTATCTCCAATTACCCAGGGGAAAAAAATAAAGTCAGAAGTGGAGCTGTGACTCAAGTAGTAAATAATCACCTTGAGCAAAAAAAGCTAAAGGAGAGCACCCAGGCTCTGAGTTTTCCCCTCCCCCACCCCGTTTTAAAAAATGGGTGTTGTGTTGTAGTCTTTATGAAAGCTAGAGGAGGGCAGAGACTTTGAGAGCTAGTTATCACTATTGAGCTAAATAAACGGCAGTCACAGCCATGATCAGCTGAGCTTGCATGTTCACTTTGAAGAAGCTAGGGAGAAGCAAAACCTCAGTGCATTAGTTAACTAGTTTCTCTTACAGATAAGTCACATTTCTACTTCCTAGATCTGTGAGTGTCAAATGTACAAACACGTCTCTGGCAATGTGATTTTAGTATGTTATTACTTCCAAGGAAGAATGCAAACTCCCCAAAGTCTATTGTATCTTACAAATGAGGACTATTTTTTTTACGAATAGTATGTTTTTAGCTTTGAATATTCTTCCCTTTTCACTGAGAATGCTCACTTGCTGAGCCAAAGAATAAGTAGCAAGAAAAGTAATAGAATGTATGTGGTTTTTATTTACCAAATGGTTCTTTTCTACTGTGGATGGTACAAAGACTGTTACCTAAGATGCAGTGAGCTGGGCTGCAGGCAGTTCAGCATCCAGCAACTTGGAGCTTATTTTGTACGCACAAGCTGCCTTCTGGAAGGCTCTTTCCTCTGTTCTGAAGCAGGGGGTTTCATCAGCTGCTTGTGGCATGCTGTACTGTAATGATTTCGCTCCTCTCATGGTGCAGACCTCTTTCTGCATCTACAGACCCTGTCTTCTGATGATGATCAGAGAATATTTTTATTTGGCTATTTATTCTATGTAAGGCATTTTCAAGTTCTTGTATTAGCATTTGCATGTATTTAATCAGAATGTAATGTAATTTATGTTGTCTGTGTTTTTGGTCAGAAATCTAGGTGACTTGAATTTTTAAGTATGATATTTATATACCCTAAGTTAAATTTCCAGAATATGAATGTTCTGTAAAAGATAAGACCATACTGTGTGGTCCAGTGGATCTCTTTTTGTTTGAATATTATTTTTCTCATTAAGTTTTATTATATAAACCAAAAGATATGTTTCTGGAGAAGCAGTCATCTCCTGGATAAATAAAATCATGTTAAAATATGTCAGTAACCTGTATTGCTTTTATAATGAGAAAATACAATAAAGGTTATTTTTAATTAAAGGAAGCAATTCATTTTGAAGTCACACACAAAAGAAAATAACACTTTGTAATCTTTGATTATATATGCATAAAATATAAATGACATTATCCACAATGTGTTTGAAAAGAGCTCCTTTAAATGATTTTCCAATTATTAGCAAATACATTTCCAGGTATAGTAGTGTTTTTATTTGATGACTATCAAGTTGCCCTAACATTTCAGTGTTAATCATTATTGATATTCTAGCCATTTATTTAGTTATATACAATCATGTAATGATTGCTTATTAGTTAGCAGGCCACCCAAATCTCTCCCCTTTTTCTAGAGTTTATTATTGAAAAGGAGAAGGTTAACAGTAGGACTATAGCCCATTCTTCCCCTTGGGGGTGCTTTTTTCCTCATTAAGGATCTTGAACCAAACCTTTATTAGATAGTATTTTTGTAAATATAAATGATGAAGAAACTGAAGACTTTTCTTGGAGTTAATAACAACAGAGATAAAATGTCCACAGTACCTCTTGAACATTTCCAAATTCTCTGAAGTTGAAGGGTTCTTCTGATAGAATCAAAAGGATTGATGAGAAGTTATCAGTATTAAGATAGAAGAGAGAGAGACAAGCTGTCAGTATTGATTAATAAATACCTAGTGCTTTAATAGTACAGCCAGAAGACTAACATTAATAAAGGTGTGTTATCAAGGGTATAATTCCCTTAGAAAGATCTTCAGTAACATTTATTTGTTTATGCATTTTATAATCTTTAAGTAGTTGTGTAAAGGAATTTCAATTCACCACTTCAATGTCTGTGTACAATATGTCTTGATCAGTGTCATGCCTTTCTAGACACTTTTGTGAGTACAAAGCCAGCATCAAACTATCCATTGTAAAGCTAGGAGTATCTGAAGTCATTTTCTTTGTTTTATAGATAGATAAACCAAATGAATTGTCAAAGCCACAGCCTCAGAGCAAGTAAATTGGCTAGCAGATTCCCAACCATGAGAACCAAGCAACACGTACCATATTTTTTTAATATAGTTAGTAACTTAACAAAAGACATCAAGTCAGGAAATGACTTCAAAGTATATTCTGCTCTTGATGTGATGGTCATTATGTGCTTTTCTTCCATAGCTTTAGTTACTACACTATTTTTTAAATCTCTTAGGGCTCACTGGTGAGGAGGGTCAAACTTCAGCCTTCTAGCTTGCCATGAGCTTGACAAAACTCATTGGCCTACTTGGGGGAAAAGGCGGGAGGAATGAGAAACTGAGGCAAGCCCAGGCAAACTTATAAAAATAGTATATTAAGAATAAACACATAAGTTTGACAAACCTACAGCCAACATTTATCGAAAAGCTAAAGCCATTTCCTCTAAACTCAGGAATGAGACAAGGATGTCCCCTCTCTCCACTTCTCTTCAATTTAGTATTAGAATGCCTAGCTACAGCAATAAGACAGATGCAAGCATAAAAGGGAATCCAAATAGGTAAAGATGAAGTAAAACTCTCCCTCTTTGCAGATGACATGATCTTGTATTTAAAGAATTCCATGGACTCCACTCCTAAATTACTTGAGCTGATCTGAAACTTTGGCAAAGTAGCAGGGTATAAAATTAACCCTCAAAAATCAATGGTTTGGGGGCTGGGAAGGTGGCTCAGTGGTAGAGCGCTTGCTTTGCATGCATGAGGCCCTGGGTTCAATTCCTCAGTCCCAAATAAGCAAAAAGAAAAAAGCTGGAAGTGGCACTGTGGCTCAAGTGGTAGAGCACTAGCCTTGAGCTGAAGAGCTGAGGGACAGTGCCCAGGCCCAGAGTTCAGGCCCCACAACCAGACCCCCCCCAAAAAAAAATCATTGGTTTTTCTGTATGCCAACAATGAGAAGAGAGTGGCTAAAATCAGGAAAGCAACTCCATTTGTAATAGCCCCACAAAAATAAAATACCTAGGAGTTAATTAAAGAAGTGAAGGATCTCTATGATGAAAACTTTAAAAACCTGAAAAAGGAAATTAAATCAGAACTAAGGAAGTGGAAAAAACAAACCTCCTGGATTGGGAGGATTAACACTGTGAAAATGGCAATACTGCCAAAGGCTATAATTAAATTCAATGAGATACCTATCAATATTCCAACCTCATTTTTTTTTTTTGGTTGGTTTGGGGTTTGAACTCGGCCTGGGCACTGTCCCTCAGCTCTTCAGCTCAAGGCTAGCGCTCTACCACTTGAGCCACACCACCACTTTCGGCCTTTTCTGCTAATGTGGTGCTGAGGAATCCAACCCAGAGCCTCATGCATGCAAGGCAAGCACTCTACCATTGAGCCAACTTCCCATCCCCAACCAAACCTTATTCTTGAATGAAATAGAAGAAGCAACCTCAAAATTCATATGGAACAATAAAAGACCCCGAATAGCAAAAACAATCCTTAGCAGAAAGAACAGTGCTGGAGAAATATCAGTACCAAATTTCAAACTCTACTACAAAGGTGTGTGTGTGTGTGTGTGTGTGTGTGTGTGTGTGTGTGTGTGTGTGTGTGTGTGTGTGTGTGTGTGTGTATGTCATTGGGCTTGAACTCTGGGCCTGAGCGCTGTCCCTCAGCTCTTCAGCTCAAGGCTAGCGCTCTACCACTTGAGCCACAGCATCACTTCCCGTTTTCTGGTGATTAATGGAAGATGAGTCTCACAGACTTTTCTGCCCATGCTGGCTTTGAACCAAGATCCTCACATCTCAGCCTCCTGAGTAGCTAAGATTACAGGCGTGAGCCACCAGTGCCTAGCTTACATTCATGCTCTTGAACACCTGCGTTTATTCATCTGAGAAGTTGATAAACTAAGGACTCTCTCCAGGAAACCTTAGGCACAGGTAAGTTTTGCATACAGATCATTCATTACATGAAACCCATCCCTGGACCTCAGGGTAGGATTCCAAGAGTTAGGCATTAATCTGTCTTTCCATTAATGAGTGATGGTTCCCACACGGCCAAATCCAGGAACCACATCAACTGCATCCCTTTCCTTATTGCTCTCCATTGACATGTTAGAAAAATGAACATAATCAAGTAGCACCTATATTTTTTTTTCTGAAATTCTGAAAGTTGAAAAGCTTTGGAAATATTTGACAGGAAAATCTGATTTGAACTTTGTAATCTCTGTTTCACTCCCATAAAGATCTGTTAGGTGGTATAGGGTGCAGAGGAAGATAATACAAATACAAACAAGGTATAAAACCTTGAAGTTGTTAGCAGTTTAGTGCTGGAGTAAAGGAGAGGAGGAAAGCTTTCCTCTATCCACTTAGATATAGAAGCTGGCACCTAGAATTGAATAATATATAGATTAATAGAAGAAAAAATAGAGTTTTATTATGCATCAAAGCCAAATATGTGTGGGAGAAGTTGAGTGATAAAGAATTGAAAGCCGCAATTATGATTGGGTTTATATTTATTGGACTTTTGAACTAAGAAGTGTCTATTTGGCTCTTTTGCCCATTTATTAACTGGGTTATTGTTTTTGGAGGTGTAGTTAAGTTTCCTGTATTTCCTGTTATTAGACCCTTGTTGGATATGTGGCTGTCAAAGATCTCCCACTCTGAAGGCTGTCTTTTTAGCTTAGTGACTATGTCCTTGCTATGCAGAAACTCTTTAGATTGATGCAATCCCATCTGTCAATTCTCTCTCCCCACTTGCAGAGCCCCTGGAATTCCATTCAGAAGATTACTGCTTATGCTAGTAATTCTAGTGTTTTCCTTCTTCCTGTAGACATTTCAAGGTTGCATATCTTACGTCCTTGATCCACTTTGAATTGATATTAATATAAGGTAGCAGGAATTCAGTTTCAGATTTCCGGTTTTCCCAGCACCATTTGCTGAAGAGGCTGTTTTTCTCCCCTAAAATGTTTTTGTTTTTGGTCAAAATCAAATGGTTATAGATGTATGGGTTTATTCAAATCCCTGGCAAGCCAGGTGCTGGTGGCTTACACCTGTAATCCTAGCTACTCAGGAGGCTGAGATCTGAGGATTGTGGTTCAAAGTCGGCCCAGGCAAGAAAGTTCATGAGACTCTTATCTCCAGTTAACCACCAGAAAACCCAAAGTGGCACCATGGTTTAAAGTGGTAGAATGTTAGCCTTAAGCAAAAGAGCTTAGGGACAGCACTCAGGCCCTGAGTCCAAGCCCCATGACTGACCAAAAAAAAAAAAAAATCCCTAGCAATGAAGGAAGTACAAACCAAAACAATGTTGATATTTCTTGTCATTCTAGTCAGAATGGTCATTATCAAGAATATGTACAACAGACACTTCCATGGGAGGGGGAAAGAATTATGATACACTATTGGTGGAAAGGTAAATTAGTGCAATCCCTATGGCGATCACTTTAAAAGGTAAAAGTAGAACTATTCTAAAATCCAGTGATCCACTCTTGGACATTTATCTGAAAGATTACAAATCAGGATACAGTAAAGACACCTGCACATCCATTCCATTGCAGCACTGTTCACCATAGGCAAGTTATGGGAGCAGCCCATATTCCCTATGACCAATGAATGGATCAATATGTGGTCCAAATGGATCAAGGAAGAAGATGGTATCATTTGCAGGGAAAATGGATAGAAGGGGGGGAGATTGAGGGGGCATGGGAATGATATTGATCAAAGTAAGCCAGGCTCAGAGATACAAAGGGTGCATGTTTTCTCTCATACGTGGAAATTAGACCTAAAATACAAAGATGTTAGAAAACATGTACAAAGCCATAAGCATATCCACATGATTAAAACTGACCAAAGATGGAATATTCAGGAGTGAGAGTTCATGGTATAACCCCTCTTTGGACAATCAATAGTTCTACAAAAAGAATGCCAAGAAGCTAAAGCTATCTTGACTACAGGAGGCTCAGAGGAAAGGGGATGATGAATGAAATGTGGAATTGTGGGACAATGTGGTCATGGTACTCAATGTGCATATGTGAAAACTGAGCTAGGAAACGAGATGAGTGGGAATGGGAGAGATGGGAGGGGCAGAATGATGGAGCAACGGGTCAAGATGTGTTATATAAGGCTCAATAGTTATGTGCATATGCTCATAAAATGATGCTTACCAAATGAACTCCAAAAAATGGAAAACATAGTTTTTTGAAATTGTACTGTTTGCAGTTTTCTTTTTGTCACTGTTTTTTATTTCTGCACCTTTTGTCTTGTATGAAAGTTTATCTGATTTGGGGAGGGGAAAGAGAAGCACAGAGACAAGCAGACAAAGGGTTAACTAATTCAGCAGTGACACTAGACACTATGTTGTAAATGAATTATACACCTTAGGAGCAAGGGAGGTTGGGAGGGGGAGTGACACTGTTCAAAAAGAAATGTACTCATTACCTGACATGTAACAGTAACCCCTCTGTACATCACCTCTACAATAAAAAAAATGTACATGTAAGTTGGCATGTTAAGTTGAAGCCTTTTTGCTACAAGTATGTGAAGACAATTTTCAAACAGGAATTAGGCTGGAAGAGGTGATGGAAAGGAAATGTTGTTATAGATATAGATGCCAACTCTCTTTGGAAGATAGCGCATTTTCAAGAGGAGGTATAGGAAATAAGAGATGACCTAGTAATTGCTCATATAGCTACGAGCAGTGTGGAAATCTGTGAATGCTGAGCCATGCTGATACAGAGAATTGGAATGCCATTCTCTGACTCTCAGAAACCTGGGAGCAGGCAGAGAAAGATCAATCGCTCCTAGCATTACAGAGACCCAAGACTTTCTTGGACCTTGGAATTAGAGAGAAAAGGCTTGTACAGATGGTGTTGTATGTGGCTTGCCTCAGCTTCCTTCGCTAAGGAAGTCAGACATCCTAGGATTGTTTCTTCAAAGAGATTGCTACCTTATTTTCTGCACATACTCCCCATCTGATAATCAATAAAGACCCTGTTAGCGGGCCGTTGGGGTATCTGTTGCTGGCGAGAGGCACAGGCCCCTTGGAACCCTGTTAGCGGGCTGTTGGGGTATCTGTTGCTGGCGAGAGGCACAGGCTCCTCGGTGTTCCAAATGTACTTTCTCAGTCTTGTTTCCGTCACTGCCTTGCTCTCAGCTGCAGCAGCCTAAGGTGCTCATGTGGGATCCAACTGATTGTCTGTCTGTCTGTCCATCTGTCTGTCTCCCTCCATGGTGTAAAAACTCCTCTGGAGAAGGAATTTGGGATATGTTTTTGTTGGTGTTCTACCTTCTGGTTGTAGATCTGCCTTTAAAGGAACCTATGCCTACCTAAATTCCCAGAGCTTACTCCTTTTAGCCCAATCAGCGAGCCAGCTACAAGAAAGCTGTTCTCCTCTGGTATCTGTTGAACTGGAGATGTCTTCAGCTCATATAATCTTTATCCTAGAGCGGAGATGACATATTCTGATCTCTTTTGGGAAAAAGACATAAGCCAAAGGATGAAAGAATAATATTTGAGAGGTTTACTATTGTCCTTAGTAGACTTCATTATTTTATCAACACTTAAAACTTATCAGGAATTCGATCCCAATTTTTTATCATTTGAGCACAGAGAACCAATCAAGTGCTGTAAGAGGAACAGAGCTTTAAGACACCTCCCCTCACCCTGCCTCCAACGCATTTGACACACTATAAATCCTGACTCCAAAGCAATCTCCTCATCTCTCTCTCTCTCTCTCTTTTTTCCTGTCCACTTGGTTAACTATGGGCTCAGGCCAGAGCCTGCCTGAGGAGGAGCGATGGATCAGGAAGGCTGGCATATTCCTGCCAAGTGGTGAAGGTGTCACCGAAGGACTTTGGAATGCTCAGGTTTGGAATCAAGACCAGCTCCTTGCTAGGAAGCCATAGATCTAGAGGACAGGTAGGGTTAGCTTATTTCCTTCACCTTCCAGGTCTCACCCGTTTTAAGTGCGGTTTCCAAGCTTGGGATATCTCAGGGTGAGGAAGTGTGGAGAAGGTAGCCCTTGGAGCTGAGGCTTACTTGGGCAAGCACCACTGATGGGTGCCTGGTCCTCTAACCCAAGTGCTGGAGAGAGTTACTGATGGACTGTAAACACTGACAAATATTGACAGAACTCAAGGTCATGGCAAAAACCATTTGGCTTGTCTGTGTAAAAGAAAAGATAAACCTGCAGTTAAAAGGGATTGGTGAGCTGGATTTGCATTCCCAGAAATTGGGAAATATCTGAAACTGAGCTTTAAAACTGGCCGTTCTTTTAACTCTCTCTATGGTCTTTTCAGTCACAGCCTATGCTGTTCCTTCCTGTTGCAGGATATATTTTTCTTTTTTGGCATCACCCTCCCCTCCCTCACCAGGGAAAAGAATCAAATATAACCTCTTCTCTAGGAGGGAAGTGTTTAGTCTCAAGTCGTGTTGGAAGATCTATTTTGGTGAAAACTAGGTGGCTGGGATTAGGTTAATTTCAGTCCTGAGTCCTGATGTTTGATCACTTGATGTTTTGTAGGATTGGGTCCTGTCTTATGATTATGTGGCTGATTTCTGCCTCTGGTGGTATGTATAATTTCCTTAAACTCAGCTCATGAAGTATTTGGTTTCACTTTGTGAGTATGAGGCATCACTCTGTGTGGGGTTCTAATAAATGAGACATTATGGTGGTTATTTCATTTACTGGACATATCAGATCACTCCACATCATGTTTTGTACATACTAGAAGATTACATTTCCTGGTGATCCTGCTCTCTGAAGGGTATGGTTACTGTTGACTTTTGCTTTGTATTCTAAAATCTGTCAATATCAAACTTGTGACTATGAGTTTATACCTATTATGAGCTCAAACACTGCACAAAATTTGAGTAAACCTCTTGTCATTTCTTGGGATATAAAGTGGGAATCCTTGAAAAGTATAGGACATAGATGCACAGGGACTGGGAAGAGTACAAGAAATCAGAATCCATAATCCAGCAAAAGGATACCAGAATGTGGAATCTAACTGAAGCTTTCTTGCAGCCAGCTCTGTGCCAAACGAATCTCTTCTCTTTCCCTTCCAGAAATGAGCTGTCCAGAATTTCCTCCAGTGGACAATAGCATCTTTATTGCAAAGGAGGAAGAAGGACAGATTTGGGGGACTTACCTTTGTACTGAGGGCTACCACATGGTGGGACAAGAAACTTTTTGGTGCAACAACTCAAAAGTGTGGGATGCCTTCACCCCTGAATGCCGCTGTAAGTTGGATCTTCGTGCTTTTCCCCCAATTGTCATACCTCTATATTCTTTTATACCCTCCTTTCTGCGGACTATGTTAATATTTAGTGAATTTCTAGAAATATACGTTCAATGGACTTTTTTCTATTGATATCTGTAAACTTGTACATAATATAGGATTTCAACATAATATAGTCATATAATGCACACCGATTATATTCACTTCCTCTATTACTGTTTCTTATGCTCTTCTTCTCTCTTCCTTCTCCCTTCTCCTCCCACTTTTCATGGGTTGGTGGTTTTGTTTTGTTTCCCTCTAGCATCCATAAATGAGAGGAAAAAAAATGGGATAGCTGTCTGGAGGAACTGGCTTATTTTATTCCACATGATGGGGTCCAGTCCATCCTTATTCCAGCAAGTGCAAATGATTTAACTTCATTCTCTCCCCACCCCCATTTTGTTCTCTTTTGAGATAGGGGCTTGAACTGTCATCCAGGCTGATCTTGACCTCACATTCCTTCTGTCTCAGCCTCCTCAGTGCTGGGATTATATGTGTGCAGTGTCAATTTTAAAGCACTGTAGTGGTTAAGCTTCTCTTGGATGGTATAAGATCAGCTCTCAACAAGTATTAATTTAGTTGAACTAATATAATTCTTTACTTCTGTGAAAAGGGAAGTCTTTTGAATTTTTACGTTTTAGGGCTGGGATTGAACACAGAGCTTTGTGCATGATACTATCCCACTGAGCCATTCCCTCACTCTTCAAAAAGAATGTTTTGCTATATCCTGAAGAGCTAAAGTAACTCCATTTTAAGATCAAACCCCCTGAGCTGTGCTGCCCTCAGAGTAACCCCCCCCCCAAAGAGAAAAATAGTTCTTGGAAAAACCGCAGGTTGCCACCAACCCTGCCCACCCTTAAGGAACAGAACGTTGCCTAAGTGCTCCATCAGAAAAAGTGAAGTGCAGCCAGGGTGGACTTAAACCCCCTCAACTTGTGAACTTGCTTGTGTGGAAACCCCCTAAACTTGTTTGTTTGATACTATAAAAGCTGTGCTAATTTTGTGCTCGGGGCCTCTTCGTGTCACCGGTTACCGAGTGCGCGGAGCATCAAGCTTGAGCTTGCGATAAACGACTCTTGGCCATTTGCATTGATCGTGGTCTCTGGTGGTCTGGGATGGGGCATCAGAAAACTGGGCACTTCACTAAAACTACTGTTTTGCTATAATTTATTTACTCTCATACTGCTTAAAAACTCTTTTTTTAACTTTATTTTTGAATTAACATACATTGGTGATCTGAGGGGATTTCACTATTATTCTGATACAGTGAACTTCAAACAAGTTCCTACATTATTGAACACTTTAAATACATACAAAACTCAAAAAAGTCAAGGAAACATTTATGTTCATCTCACTCCTTTGCCAGTAAACTATACCTGGTAAATGATTTCATCTCTACCTTTACTAATGTAAAGGAAGTCATTTTGTCTCATGTTAAATGTGTCTCATTTCATGTAACTTCTGGGAAAATTTTATGTTGTCAACTTACAAATAAAGGAAGTGAGATCCACCTGGCATTCCAAGGTCACAAAACTGATGGAGGTAGGCTAGAAAATAATTAATTCATGTTCTCTTTGTAAAATTAATTACATTTATTCTTTATATACTTACACCAATCTTTAGATTTTTTTGTCAAAATTAACCTACATTCGTCATACAGGGGAGAGGGAATTTTATTGTTGTATTTCCACACAATTACATTAATATATTCAATCTTCTTCATTTGAAAAACCATCATATCCTTCTGCATTCTTTCCTATTTTTTCACAGAAGAGAATTTTTAAAAAAAAATGATGAGTAATATAAATTTAGCAGGATGAAAGAGAAAGACTTAGACAACATTTAGGCTCAAGAATTTTTAGAGCAACATTTAACATAACAATGGCCAAACTATTGGTAATTTCTAGTTCCGTGCTTAGTTACATTTATGTTAATTCAGTTGCCAATCAAATCATTCTTATGGGTGATCAAGGCCATGATGGTCTTTTCTCATCCTGCATTGATATGACTAGGGGCCATTTACCGTTACCTCTTAAAAATGTGCAGCCTTAGGCTCTGATTTACTATTTTCCCTCTGAAGAGAGAAAGCCTGGCCTTGGCTATGATAGGCTACAGCCCAGTCCTTTCTCATGAATTTTTCTGCTTTTCTCCAGTGGGCCACTGTCCTGATCCTGTGCTGGCAAATGGCGAATTCAATTCTTCAGGGCTGGTGAATGTAAGAGACAAAGTCACATTCAAGTGCAATGAGCACTACATCCTCAAGGGCAGCAACTGGAGCGAGTGCCTAGGGGACCACACCTGGGGGCCTCCCCTCCCCATCTGCAAAAGTAGTAAGTACTGGGGAAGCCCAAAGCCCAAAGATACGGACGACGGCGTCATCGACATCCCCCAAATGCCTGCACTGTATCTTCCAGGAAAATGTTAGGCTCTAACAGACAACCAAGAGACAAAAGGAGCTCACAGACGTAAACCTCCATTCAAGTGATATATTCCAAGAAAATGAACAGTATCTGAGCACAAGTAGGGTTGCTGTTCTGTTAGGTCCCACGTAAGGTAGTAGGGGCATTGACTATTGCGTTTTTATTGGGATCTTTTATTAGCATACACAAGCTGTATAAGGGGAGTTTCATTGTGACATTTCCATATATGCAGACAATGTACCTCATCGGCCTCACCACTTTCTTATTCTCCCTTATGCCTTCTCCTTCCTTCTTCACTGAGTTTCATGGCTCCATTTTTCCTATATGCATATAAATTACTTTCACTCTCATTCACCTTTTCTTGACTATTTATGTTTTTATTACAAGAAGGTGACAAAAAAGTTTTCATTTGAAAGCAGATAAAAGCACAAAAAAAGACCTGATGGTTTTCTCTTGTCCTCTGCAAAGTTATATACAAGTAGAAGTGCAATTCCCTTTGAATTGCTACAGTTCATACCTCTCAGAGGCACTCAGCTAAGATGTGCTTATTTCATGGATTTTTCTTATATTTATGCACATATTTAAAGCAAACACTCAAGTTAAATTAAACATGAAGTTTTTATGTGCATGGTTGTACGTGCATATATAGATGTATGTATATATGTATACATACGTAATTATATACTTATAAAAATGAGATCTTGCTATACATACTTTTAAATACCTGTGAATGCATTCCATATATAGGAATTTTTCCAGAGTGGCAATATAGCTTTACATCTTGGTTTTTAAATAACTGCATATAGTTATACTATAATTTATTTATGCATTTCTTATATTGATGGACATTTATTTTTATTTTTACCTTTTTTTAGCTATAGCAAACAATGCTTAAATGAATGTTTTATATGTCCATATCTCATCATTCTGTTTTTCTCTCTTTCTTTCTCTGGCCTTTCTTTCTTCCTGTTCTTTCTTTCGCAATTCTGGGGCTTGAAATCAGGGCCTTGGGCTTGCTCAGCTGGAATTCTACTACTTGAGCACCACTTCCATTCTTGCTGTATTCTGGATATTTTGGAGATAGAATGTCTTAGGGACTTTTCTGTCCCAGCTGGATTCAAACCAGCTCTCAGTCTCCTGAATAGCTATATAACAGGTGTTAGCCACTGGTGCTCAGAATATGTTGTTGTTTCTTTAGAGTGAATTTCTAAAGTGATTGCTGTGTTAAAGATTGTTACTGCATAATATATGTGAAATATTCAGAAAATTCTAAGGACTTGCTACATATTGGAATATGAAATAATATGGAAAGCTCGATGTTTTTATTGCTTATTAATAATAATTAGCTGAGTATAGGACTGCTTCTAAGTGTGCCAGTTACCTAGGTGACACAGATACTGGGCAGAAACTTAACCAAGAGGTAGGGGGGTGTCTGCACCAGCCTGCATGGCCCTGGGCAGACCGTACAACACCTATGTAATGTATATGAAAATTTACTGACAGACATTAAGTAAGACTTAAGTAAAAGAAAATATATACTGTGATCCTGGGTAGGCAGACTTAATATTACAATGTGATCCCCTGGAGATATATAAGGCAAAAAGATAATACAATCTCACTTGAAAAGATACATAGTTAATGTTACAACTTCACTTTTTAAAAGAAAGAGATAACTAATATTTATATTTGGTTAAAAAATAGAAGAACTACTTTAATAAATTGTAAAATATGCAAGAATATTGTTATAATACTATGATTGTATTTCAAAATAGTGACAAAAACTTCATTTGAAAAATATATGAAACTAGAAAAAAGTCATAATTTGTCCACTATAAAATTATATATATTATATACAAGATAGTGTTAGCATGGTAAATAACAGGTACTATAACTAATATGCTACTGAAATAGTAAATATGGGACAGGAAAGGAGGACAGATGATTTAAAATACATGAGAAACCTTTGTTTTAGTGGGAATGAGATAATAGCTCATTTGGAAAAAGACAAAGTTGTAACTCTACATGCTGTTAAAAAATACATACTCCAGATGGACTTAAATACATAAATACAAAATCAAAATGATTAGGTTACCGGGGCTGGGAAGGTGGCTCAGTGGTAGAGCGCATGGCCTTGCATGCCAGAGGTTCTGGGTTCGATTCCTCAGCACCACATAAGCAAAAAGAAAAAAGCCGGAAGTGGCACTGTGGCTCAAGTGCTAGCCTTGAGCTGAAGAGCTGAGGGACAGTGCCCAGGCCCAGAGTTCAGGCCCCATGACTGGACCCCCCAAAAAAACAAAAAACAAAACAAAACAAAAAAAAATGGTTAGGTTACCAAAAGAAAACCTGAAAACCTATGGTTTTAATTTTTTTAAGTTTATTTCCTAGTAGGCTATCAACATATAGTTTCTTCCTCTGATTTCTGTCAGAAAACATTCCTGAATTGCTGCTAAGTCAGAAGACCAGTGTATGTGTGTGTGTGGGGGGGGGGAGTAAAGAGAGATCTTTCCCGTGGACAAAGATGCTTTTGGTGAGAAGGCGATGTCCCTGGGTCCCTGTTGGACAGCAGATGCAGGTGCAGACAGGGTGCTAAGTCATTCATTGGCCCTTGTCTAAGTTGAGAGAGGTGCATTCCTCACCTGTATACTTCCTTCTCTCAGGAGACTGTGACCCTCCTGGGAAACTGGCGCATGGCTATTTTGAAGGAGAGTTCACCTCAGGATCTGTTGTTACTTATTTCTGTAAGGAAAGGTAAGTGCACACAGGCCTTCTAGTATGAGCTCTTGCTCCTTGGCTACATTCTCTTGGAGAATAATATAGTCTGTGTTTCACCCTAATCCACTCATTTCCTTCTGCTTCCTCCTCCCCCTCCCCCTTCTCCTCCTCCTCCTCCCCCTCCCCCTTCTCCTCCTCCTCCTCCCCCTCCCCCTTCTCCTCCTTCTCCTCCCCCTCCCCCTCCTCCCCCTCTCCCTCCTCCTCCTTCTTCTTCGAGAGCTGTTTTAGCCCATGGCTAGCTCTTTCCAATTCCTAGAAAATATGGCTCCTACTAGAGAAACCTATTTTTCCTTTGTGAAGGTATCACTTCTTTAATCTCAAAAATACTTAAGTATTAAAAATATGTGTTTTCTAAGGACTCAATGAAAACCTCAAAACATAGAAGGTCAGAAATATAAAGATTTAGAGCAGAGATCCTTACAGAGTCCTACTTCAAGTCTAACCTTTGTTTTTTTTTGGATGGTAGTTGGGTTTGAACTCAGGGTTTTGTGGCAGAGCCCCTGCTCTGTCTGCAGTTCCTCTTCACCCCTTGATTTCTGTTTGTCTGATTCCAGGGTTGTTTTGTTTTTTTGTTTTTTGATTGGTCATGGGGCTTGAACTCAGGGCCTTTGCCCTGTCCCTGAGTTTTTTTTTATTTTTTATTTTTTAATTATACGTTTTTTATTGTAAAAATACTGTACAGAGGGGTTACAGTTACATGAGCAAGGTAATGACTACATTTCCTATCAAGCATTGTTACCTCCTCCTTTGTTTTTCCCTGAGCCTTTTTGCTTAAGACTAGCACTCTACCACATTGAGTCACTGTGATACTTCTCTTTGTCTAGTGGTTAATTAGAGATAAGTCTCACAGACTCCTCCTGCCCAGGCTGGCTTTGAATGGTGATCCTCAGATCTCAGCCTCCTGAGTAACTAGGATTATAGCCGCTGGCACCTGGCTTCAGTTATGTTTTTAGATAAGATCTACTATTTTTTGCTCAGGGTCAGCTTTGGACCTCAATTCTACCACCTGGTCTTCCATGTAGCTGGAATCACAGGTGTGTAACACCACATCTTTTGTTTTTGTTTTTTTTTTTTGAGATGTGAGTTTTGCTACTTTTTGCCCGGGCTGGCCCCAAACTGCAGTGCTTTTTAGCTGCTGGCATACAGGTGTGTGCCAGGATGCTCAGCCATTAACTCTAGACTGCTTGGTGGCTCTTATCACGGATCAGTTACCCTTTTCTTTCCCTTGTGTGAGGTCTCATGGAATCATCTGGCCTCATAGATAGGTCAGCCTCATTATAAACTTCCAATAGACTTTGCAACCAATTCTCATATTTGTCTGATTTGAAACGACCGTCCCTCTTTACCCTGTTGCCTATGATTTGTTTGAGGGAGCATCTTTCACTTTCTTCTGCTTCTGAGAGCTTACAGGACAGATGCCTTTTTAGGGTATGGAATGATCAAACAAGGCTCTACCTCCCCCTGCAAAAACTGAGCGCAAACACGTTGATTCTGGGTTTAGCACTCGGTGTTTTGCACATGGATTTGTCCCCATTTCCCAGCATTTGCAAGGTAATTTCATTGCTTTGTGAGACTAAGATCATTTCAGCACCATGAATTTTAGCTTCCGAGGTAGGGAGGCAGATACTGGAGTGGAACTTCGTGCAGCAGCCTCAGTTACCCCGGGTGGCGGGTGGCAAGGCCTGGCCAGGTTCTGACTCCCCCCCACAGGTACCGTTTGGTGGGCCCGCGGGAGCTGCGCTGCCTGGAAGGGGAGTGGAGCGGTGAGGTTCCGACCTGTGAGCCCATCCCAGAAGCCCCCAAGCCAGCCCAGCAGATTGCGTTGGAGAAGGCTCTGGTAAGTACAGCGCTTCTGTCTTGTTCTCAGCTGCAGCTCCACATCTGGGCAAAGCTCCAGATGACAAAGCCATCGAGTGCACCAGCCGGCGAACAGCTGCACAGTTCAGGACAGTGTTGTGGCCCGGGCTGGCTTTCCTCTAAAGGAACTTTATGGAATGTCACCTGACATTTCCATTCACCACCACCCTGGCAAACCTCATACAACTCAGCATCTCATCTGCCTCTTGGAACAAGGTGCATGAATTCAGGGTCTGAGATTTGTAAGCACTGACTGTCACGAAAAGTTCTGAACACTCCTTCTGGACTTCATTAAAGGCTTTTCCTTGAGATTCTTCTTTTAGTCTATGTTTATTACTGGGGGGATAATTCATAATGGAAGGCAAGTGCATTTGGATCAGAGAATGTACATGATTTATTGTATTAAAGACCTCATTGTTTATTTTTAATTTCATTTTATATTATTTATCTATTTATGAATTTTCTTTTGGTGCCAGTATTGGTCCTTGAACCCTGGGCCTTATGTTTTCCCTTAGCTTATTTTATTTTTTAATCAAGGTTCGTGCTCTACCATTTGAGCCACAGTTTCATTTTGGGCATTTTGCTGGTTAATTAGAGGTAAGAGTCTCAGAAACGTTTCTGCCCTGCTGGCTGCAATCCATGATCTTCAGAACTCAGACTTCTGAGTAGCGAGGATTCACAGGCATGAGCCCATATGCAAAGTCAAATCATCAGTTCAAATCCCAGTACTTCCCAAAAGATCTACATCTCTGCTGAAGCGCCTTGGTTATGAGCTCTGCCAGGGTTCGGAGACCTACCTCGCACTTTCTGACTTCTTCCAGTTGTAAATTCATTTTCTTTCTTTCTGCAGCAGGCCTTTCAGGAGAGGGAAGACCTTTGCAGTGCCATCAAGAACTTTCTGAAAAGATTAAAGGAATGTGGCTTACCAGTGGACGAACTAAAATATTCTCTGGAGATTAAGAAAGCAGAGTTAAAGGCAAAGATACAGCAACATCATAGTTGAGAAGATTGGTAACAGAAACAAAACTATGAATAAAATTTCTTCTTGGCTCAGAAATTGGTTTCAGAAAGTCTCTGACTGGGCTGAAAGGAAACTTCATAGTAGTTGATGTAGTTGTAAAATGTGTGTGTGTGTGTGTGTGTGTGTGTCTATGTGTTGTTATACTTACAAGAAGAAAAAGACAAATGCAGTGTGCATCCGTGACTACGGAGAGGGGAAAGTTTAATTTCTTGTCTATGAGAGAATGAGTTAGCTTGGATCCCAGATAAATGTGTGGCATGGTGGCTCAAATGGTAGGGTGCTCGCCTTGAGCTGAAGAGCTCAGAGACAGCGCCCAGGCCCAGAGTTCAAGCCCCACTACCCCGCCCCCCCCACACACAAAGAGAGTGCACAGCTGAGAGTCCGCCTCTAAGCCTCCTCCTGTCCAATCAGTCTCTCCATTTTGGGATGTAGCCATGTGTTCTTTACCCCTAATACCTTTCTCAGTTTCAGCTAATAATTTCCACCACTCACCTAAAGCCCAGCCTAAAAAAATCTCACAGCTGTCAAAACTTCTGGAATGAATTCAGTATGCTCTGGTTAACTCCTGTCTTTCTACACCCACATGGAACCTTCAGGGTTTGTTTCAGAAAGAAAGTTCTGCTGCCGGAAAGCCAATAATCTTTTGGGCACACAAAGCTGAAACTTTATAGTGAATAGTTTGATTGGATGTCAAGCTTTAAATTCCTTCCTAGGAACCCAATCAGAGTCATGATAACTATGTGGTATTGATGGTTACTGGCCCTTTATTGTGTTTATTTGACCAGCACTCAAGAGCAAACCAATTTCTGGAGATCTTTTAGTGCCTCGCATAGTAGTGGTTTGTGATAGTAGTTGTTAATATTTAGGCTGGTGCCAGTAGCTCACATCTGTAATCAGAGCTACTCATCTGTGGATCAAGGTTCAAACCCAGCCCAAGCAGAAAAGTCCATGAGACTCCAACTAACCAGCCAAAAGCCAGATATGGAGCTGTGGTTCAAGTGAGAGTACCAGCCCTGAGAATAAAAGCTAAGGGACAGTACCTAGGCCATGAGTTCAAGCCCTAGTACCAACATGCACATACATGCATATATGCATGCATGTATGCACACATGCAAGCACACAATAAATAGTAGTTGTATGCTTATTTAGCTCTTTGTATGTTCCAGGCAACTCAGCACATATCAGAAACTCAATTTCTGTTTGATAAATTTTCTGCTTTCTGTTGCTCCTTGGGATGAATGGAGACCAGTGAAGGACAAGACTACCAGACCAGGAATACCTGGAAATCCTCTGGACCTTTGGATCATTTTGGTGGGCTTGTCTAAATCCTGCAGTAGTCGAGGCTTCAAGCTACCTAGAGGGTGTCTTGCATAACTCTCTTTTGTTTATGAAAAGAAAAAAAGAATTCTGGCATTAAATTCAAATTACCTTTCTCACTTAGGGGAAATGGTTGGCAGAGGAAAAGAAGAAATGATTGCAACATATGATCGAGAATGAAAACTGGTGAAGAGGAAGGAGATTAGGCAAGCACTGCTCTAGTTCTGCCATTAATCATTCACAGAGCCAGGGGAGAGCTCTTGCCCATCTATCTACATTCAGCTATCCCTGACCAGCCAATAGCACGGCTACTAGCTAACAACAGAATCTTATGATACGCCATGATCTCAGAGGAACCAGGACAGGAGAGCTCAAGGCACCATTGCAGGGCCGGCCTTCCTCTGCTACTGCAGGTCAGTGGGCTGCGGGGCACTTGGGGAAAGAGCTGATGGCTTGTCTGCTTAGAGAATTCAAGGCTAGAAAGACAAGACCGTAATGTTTCAGCAAAAACTTTTATTGGGGTGTTGCATGAAGGGAGTGGGAATTGTGTGATTTGGGGGGAAAAAGTATTTTTAACCTTTTAAGAGTCTCAAATGTTTATTATAAATGGGGAACAAATGTTTATGAATCAGATAGGGCATAAAAGAAGTTATACTTAGTATTGATCTTTTTTTTTTTTTTTGCCGGTCATGGGGCTTGAACTCTGGGCCTGGGCACTGTCCCTCAGCTCTTCAGCTCAAGGCTAGAGCTCTACCACTTGAGCCACAGCACCACTTCCAGCTTTTTCTGCTTATAGGGTGCTGAGGAATCGAACCCAGGGCCTCATGCATGTAAGGCAAGCACTCTACCACTGAGCTACCTTCCCAGCCCTGGGTATTGATCTTGTTATTGCAAGTGACTTGCTCTGTTGGTCCTTCACTGATCCCCCAACATAGGGAAGTGAGGCAAGAGGTAAGCCAGGCTTCCCAAAGGGAATCATAGAGACCTGGTTTTTAAGGTCTATTCTGCAAGCAGGTATATTTTCCTTGAGAGAGTTTGTTAACTCTTCCAGTTCTCTATTGTTGAGAAATGAGAAGATACATAGCAGCTTTCGGTTAGTCTCCAAAGCTACCCATCTTAGTCACACTCACTTCTTTTCTGCCTCTTACTTTCCAAGTTTGGTGACATCTGTAATCCTTCCTTCTTAAAATTCTCTTCTTCCTTAGTGGTCCAGGACTCTTTTCTGGCCCTCGTTTTTAATTGTCTTCTTGCTGATTTTTACTCTGTCCCCAAATATGATAGTATGGGGAGAATGAAAAACAAGAATACACAGAAGAAACAAAAGCATTAAATAAGATTTGTAGTAGGCTTGGGGATACATGTAAACATAATGTGAACATTGAAGGAAAGAGCTGAAAATGAGTGTGTGGGGGGGGGTAAAGAGAGAAAAAGACTCAAAGAATGGAAGCCCTTCCAGGGTTTATAAGTGATATAACTAAGAGTCCAGGTGTAAAGGAAGTGGCACTGGGGCTAGAGATAATTCCTTTTCAGAGATTATCTGAATTTTAAAAGAGGGAATTTAGAAAATTCAGTTACTTAAAACATAATCTCTACAAAGTCCTAAGGGGGAGGAAAGGGAAAGGAGAGTACCCCCAGAGTACTCTGTGAATTTGGACACTAAAATTGCTTTCACAAAGGATGCTCAAAGACCAGTTTGTATCAGTGAAATGCACCACTTTGTAATCTTCCCTAGGTCAAATGCAATCATTTTAGAGATGAGGAAATTTGAGTAGCAAGAAGCAGATGTAGCTTCTTCAAGATTAGACTTGAGAGTATGGGGACTTAGGTTTCCTCTACCTGCAAGTCCTCCTCTCTGTCCCCAGACCCCGTGGCTGGCTGAGTTCTGTGCCTGTTCCTAGCTATCCAGATTGCAACTGAAGACACAAGCCAAGGGATGCCCCAAGAGTTAATGGGGACCAAGGCACTTCATGTGCATTTCCTTCCATCCTTAGAGAGGCGGTTGACTAGTCATACTTGGAAGACAAAAACAAATTGGATTTCTATTCATTTTACATTTATTGGGTAAACATTATACACCCATTTAGAGAAAGGAACTGGAGTCAACACCTTCATTTGCTCTCAATGAATCCACAGTATTTCCCAAGGCACCAGAAGACACTTACAACATACTGTGAGCTTTGTTGGTTTATTTTCGTTTCTGGCAGTCCTTGTGCTTGCTAGGTAGGCGGCATTCTCCTACTTGAGCCAAACCTCTGGCTCTACAATGTGACATTAAGGAAAAGCATTAGAGTAACACAGTAGATACTGACTTAGGCCATTTTCCCCTGAGGAGTGACATTTGATATATGGAGAGTGAATAAAAGAGAGTTTGGACTATACAAGAGTCATTATATATAAATGCTTACAGATGTTTTAGAAGAATCCAATATTTTTTTTAAAGGAAAGATGGCTAGGTTTCTGAGTTGAAGCACGTTCTACTTGTGAAAAGGGGGAAGAGGTGGTGAGTTGAGAGAGGAATGGGAACTTATGGAATAGAGGACCAGGTACATTTTCAGCAGAGTGACATAGTACGAGTTGCTTTGTAGGGCTATAGTGCCAATAACACTGTCAGCTACAAACAGTTGGGAGGTTTTGCAGGGGTGTAAGGTGGGGTGGAGGGAATTCTGAGACCCTAGACTGAAACTTGGACTGTGGAAGAGGAACATAGGAGACTGTATCTGATTCCAGAGCTGCTACTGTAGCCACTTCCATAAAGCTCATTTTCTTTATATGTATATACATATATACACAAATATATCTGTATATATGTATATGCACACATATATTTGTGTACATATGTATATATATGTATACATGTATACATATGTATCTTTATATATACATATGTAATATATGCATATATACATATATATTTGTAAAGATACTGTACAGAGGGGTTATAGTTACATGAGTAAGGTCATGAGTACATTTCCTATCAAGCATTGTTACCCGCTCCTTTGTTTTTTCCCTACCATCCTCCCCTCCCACCTCCCCACCTCCTCCCTCCCCCCTCCAAAAGCTCATTTCCTTTCTTCACATGGAATTAGTCTCTCTTCTGAGCAGGAGGTTTCTGCAGAGGCTGGTCCCCACTGCCTTCTGTTGTAACATTTGTGCTTATGTCTTTTCTACTGAACCAGGCTATGTCTCTTGAAGACGTGGATCCTATTGCATATATCCCAGTATTTTACAACGTAAACTTAAGTTATTTTTTCTCTCTTTAGAGAAGCAGCAGCAGGTCATGTGTCCATCAAGAGCTGGAAATGGGACCTACCACGGAAAGAGGGAGATGGCAGTTTGGGTCTTACCTAAGTTGAGCAGTGTCTCTGATCCAAGTCTGTTCCGAATCACCTTGGCTGCCACACTGTTGGCTACTGTTCTTGGTGAGCCAGCCATTCCAATCTTCCATACTTACAAGACTGAAAAAGAGTTGTTACATTAGCAGGAATCCATTTTTAGCAACAAAAGGCTTTTGTCTAACTGGAATGTACAGGCACTTTTGCTTTGCTCACAAAGAAGGCAATTTGCTAGACATTCTAGACACTCTAAACATTCGAGTTTCTTCTCTAGAAGTTTCCAAAACAATCTGTCTCCCATGTGTGACTTGAGACAAATTTATATTGTCC